TATGACCAAGAAAATTCCCCCTTTCGGCATTCATTATGCCCACCTCACCATCTCCTAAACACGACCAGTTTTATTCCTCTCCAAATGCCCCCGCGGGCCCATAACGTTCCCGGATGTCGTTAGACAGAAGATTCACATGTGGGGACGGACGTTTCAAGCATTCCGGTCTGGATTGGTCCTGCGCGGAGGTTACTTCACATTTAACTGCCGGGGAACTTTTCCTTTTTGATAACACATTCCGACGCAAATCATTCCTGATAGGGGTCAGTTACAGTGGACACAATAAAAAATCGTAGCCATTTATGGCGTATGGTACAAATTGAATTTTAATGTATTGGGAGCCGGTGTAAAAATATGTCAGATACGCTCAATGCTTACGAAAGTCCGAAGGCTGTGTTATCTATTATAGTCTATCTGCAATAATGTCCTCAAAATCTCTCAATATATATCTTTATACATATTATACCTTGTACCATATTTCGCTGAAAAGGAAAAAGTCAGAGTAGCCCTCAGACACTGTGGATACCCAGAATGGGCCCTGAGGGAGGGGGAAAACAACTCCAGAAAGGACAAAAGTAGCAAGGAACAGAGTAAGACTGGAAAACAAGAGCAACTCCCAGCGAGTTACTTGGTTCTACCCTACATACATGGAGTTACAGAGAGGCTGAAACGTGTATATGCCAAACACAATGTGAGCCCGTACTCCAAACCGGGCTTCACCTTACGTAATGCCCTTGTGAGACCCAAGGACCCTCTAGCACCTGGTGAGAAGTGTGGTGTGATCTACAAGATCAAGTGTGAAGAGTGCGGGGAGGTTTACGTTGGTGAAACTGAGCGGTCACTGGGGGAAAGGACTTCTGAACACCAAAAGTCGTTACATCAGAAAGACTGCAAATCAGCGTTAAGTCAACACCAACTCCAGGCTGGTCACAACATCACTACCAGGCCCATCTCTGACATTATTGAAATCATAGACCAAGAGTCACGTAACCCACATAGGAAGATTAAGGAAGCGGTGCACATACAATTGGAAGGTGCCAAGCTAAACCGGACAGAAGGTTGGGAGCTCCCCAAGACGTACTTACCCTTACTTCGGAGGGAGGCAGCGGGGGGTGGGACCCGACAGACCGATGCAAGTCTCGGGCCTAGTCTCGCGCTCTCGCGAGATTAGGCCACTCCGTGAACAAGATGGACTGATAGCCATCGAAAATTTGGAGGTTAGTATCCTTATCCTTCCAAAGTTGTCACTGATGAAAGAATTCACTAGGAACCAACGTGTTATTAGTACGAAGCATCTATTCTATAGTAAGTATAGTATTGAAGCGCCAGTATGTAAAAGAATTATTCCAATGGTACATCAATGACGTCAGCAAACTTGTAACTGTCCTGCTGTATGGATGTTTGACGGAGCTATTAAAGAACCTGTGACATGTAAACATGGCTGTAACAATGTAAGAGTTTAATACCACTGTAACAACCAAAGACTGTAACAATGAAACAGTTTAATACCACTGTAACAATCAAGACTGTAACAATGTAACAGTTTAATACCACTGTAGCAATCAAGACTGTAACAAAGTAACAGTTTAATACCACTGTAACAATCAATACTGTAACAATGAAACAGTTTAATACCACTGTAGCAATCAAGACTGTAAAAATGTAACAGTTTAATACCACTGTAACAATCAAGACTGTAACAATGAAACAGTGTTTTACCACTGTAAAAAAAGACTGTAACAATGTAACAGTTTAATACCACTGTAACAATCAAGACTGTAACAATGTAACAGTTTAATACCACTGTAACAATCAAGACTGTAACAATGTGACAGTTTAATACCACTGTAACAATCAAGACTGTAACAATGAAACAGTGTTTTACCACTGTAAAAAAGACTGTAACAATGTAACAGTTTAATACCACTGTAGTAATCAAGACTGTAACAATGTAACAGTTTAATACCACTGTAACAATCAAGACTGTAACAATGTAACAGTTTAATGCCACTGTAACAATCAAGACTGTAACATGAAACAGTTTAATACCACTGTAACAATCAAGACTGTAACAATGAAAATGTTTGTTACCACTGTAAAATCTGCTGTCTGTAATTGAGACTGTTCAAAATGCTTAAAATTTTGCACTTTTTGGTGATTTCTACAATAAAAAAGGACCATTATGGTTCAATGCGCATCTGTAATTTTTTAACTGTGTATCAGTGAGACAAGGTGGTTGGGTGTGTTAGATCCGGCCACAAGGAAGTGAAATGGTCATACGTAAAAAAAAAAACACAAAAAAAAAACTTCTGTTCTCATTATTGCAACCCTGAATTATAAAAAAATAGCATAATTTTATATATAAAAAGCAACTAAATGTATTCGATCAATAATTTTAATATATTGTTTTACAGTCTTTAAAACACACACACATACATGACAGTGTATTTCTATCTACCTCTTTTTATACACGAAGAACAACAGATCTAGTCCTATGTGCAAGGAAATGAATTAGCAATGTAAATATCTGCATGGAAAGACGAGGTAAATGCCAACACAACTGCAGGAAAATATTATTTCATATCATAATAATTAGAACTCAGACAAGATTGGCTACAGTACATTATCCAAATTTCGTCACCCTAGCATGTCTAGATCGTGAGATATCAAAACCGGAAGTTCAGCTGCAGTACCATAACAAGCCGCTAGGGATCCAAAATTTCATCATTTCCATGACTTACCAAGACCTACCCATCTACCAAGTATGAAGACAATGCCTTTAAGCCTTCTAAAGTTATCGTGTCCCACACACACAC